GGAATTTGTCGAAAAAAAAAAAAAATTCGAAGATACTCGTGTATATCGCAGCGGAAATTGTAACGGAAACTGGAGACAACTCCAACCAGGATGAAATATTACACTTGCATCCACGAGTTAACCGCTCGTCTTGTATAATCCGATCAGACCTGCGGATTTCTGTGCGTTTGTGCGAGGAATGCGCATGACGCGCGGAAAAATAAATTTCCTGCCTCGGCTCTGCCTTTCATTTAGTGCAGCTTAATCACGATCGACGCGAACGCGAATGTCAAAACTCGTCGGAGTCGTCGAATGATTAGTACGATTCGAATTCGAGATTCAGAGTACAAATGCGCGATGACGCGCGGGGAGAGATTCAAGACGACGGAACTATCAGGGTGTACTGTGTTACGATCGTGCGGATTCTACCAAAAAGAAAAGGAAAGGAAAGAAGAAAACTGAACGACCGACTGAATCGGACTCGGATCGAGAGATTTGAGAGAACAATGCGCCGAGAGCAAGTACGCGGATCGTACTTCGACGATGGAGGCCGAAGACGAGTAACGGGGCCGACTAACCGAAGTGGAATAGTGGTATAGCGGTCGCGTGGTGGCGTGTGGTGGTGGTTGACGGCGTCGTCGTCGGTGACTATCGATCGGTGGCGGGCGTCGGCGTCGGTGCCACGCGGTGGCGCCCCCGTCGTCGGTCCGACGACGGCGACGGCGCTCTGCCACGGTCGTCCGCCCCTGGGGGGCGACGAAGAGGGCGGTGGGGGCAGCGACACGCAGACCAATCATGCCTTTGGTGGAGCCGGCAGAGGCCCGGCGTGTACGTGAGGCCGTTACACTAAATGCGGATTTATCAGTCGACGAGTGGCGTTCTTACCGTAAAACTTTTCGTTACTCTCGAGATCCACGCCGTTGAGTCATCCTCCTCCACTTCTTCTCCTTCTTTCCTTCTTTTTCGCCGTGGTCACGCGAGAGAAAGACACGCTCGCGGGTGGCACTCGCGCGAACAGTGGTTCCCCGTTCCCGAAACGCGATCGAGCAATTCCGCCAAGGCGTTCCCGCTGCGCCCCCTTTTTTTTATTTTTTTTTTTTTTTAATTCCGCGGGGGGCGTTGGAGAACGCGACAGCCGGGGAGGATGCTGCGTCCTTCAGGATCAGACCTCGACGAAAAGACCCACGTTACTCGCGTGTTCTTCGCCGCGATTGGAGTTGGAGGCTGACACAAAGGACACGGGGACAAGTGAGAAAGTGTCATGCTGGTCGAACGTGGACGATATAGATTGCAACGTGGATTGTTGGAATCGGTTCGTTACTTGCAATAATCTCGGTACGATCAACTGGAGAAAAGGAGATGCTCGTGACGAGAATTCACGTTCGGCGAGACGCGAGTTTTGACAACGTATATTCGAAAGTGCGAGAAAAGTCTGGGAAAGACGCGTGGAAAAGAGGCAGAAAATCCTCTGGCTCTCTGCTATGTTATTCTCGGACCGAACGGAAAATGGCATTGTAACGCAGCCTTAAACGCGGAAAAGGTGGCGAGGATCTCGCCGGCCACGCATGGCCGTTTCGCCCGAAGGATGTCGTAAAATGCCGGCGTAAGGATCCATCTCGCCGGCCAGTAACCATTTCCCATTCGTTCGTTGTGTGATCGTGGTTCTTTTCGCCGCGACCGACGTGCACGACGAGAGAGAAAGACAGAGAGAGAAACGGAGCAACGGAGCGAACGGCGGCGAGAATGCTGAAAGGACGAGGAGGAGCGTGATAAAAGAGATTTCGTGAAACATCGCCAGCAAGGATCGTCTTTCGTCTGTAACGTCGTCGTATACGTAGTTGTGACAAACGTCGTACATACGCAGTTGTGTTGGTTCACGGGAAAGACGGACGTGTGATCGACGCGAGTGCGCGGCCCTTTTACACGAAGAAATCGTCTCGTGCTGGTTTTTTTTTTTTTTTTTTTGTACGATCAGGAAAGGTGAGCGCGTATTGCCGTATTGGCGAGAAAGAATCGAAAATTCTCATTGAGTTGCTACGTTGAAACGGAGAAACGTGGAACGCCACGATGTTGTGCACCGAACGAGCGACGGTAAGATTATGTAACACACCGTGCGGAATCGAAAAGTGCGCGGTCGAGTGTATGTCACTTTACGAGTGTACGAATCGATGATCCGCCGTACGTGCCCGTTATAATTCGCGGGTATTGTACAAAAATCCGGTTTACATAAGAAATTTCCGACACACGACGATTGCGCAATATATCCCCCTCCTCGTATATGTTTGCCCACATATAACAGCAATTACAGTGGGAATTAAAACAAACAAAAGTTACGCGGTGTTTCCATAACGGCCGGTCGATTGATCGAGTAAGTGGTTGAAATACAAGCTCGTTGCCGCTTTTTCTTTTTTTTTTTTTTTTTTTTTTTTTTCCCCCCCCCCCNTTTTTTTTCTCCCCACCCTCTGATCCTCGTTTGAGGGAAAGATACGCGTGAAAATAGGAGCGAAAATCGGTGAGGGAGAATCTGGATGGAGAGGGTGGAGGGGAGGGGAACAATCAAAGGGAGGGGTGGAGGGGGTAGGAAAGATAGAAAGGAAACAGAGAAAGAAAAATAAAAAGCGACAAGCTGCCGCGAAACATCGACAAAAACAAATGTTCTCGTCGCGGCTAATGAAACGCCTCCGGGGGGTGGGGGCGAGAGAGAGAGAGAGGAGAGGAGAAAAGAAAGGTCGGGAGGGCGAAACGGAGGAAAATCGATGTAAAACGTAGCGGAAAAGGGGTTAAACAATCAGTCACCGGCCGAACGAAATGGGTTATTTCGCGGTGTGGCCGAAATGTGTTTTAGGTGTGGCGCAAAAGGGAAAACCTGCCGCGATTACTTTTGTTTTTCCCTTCCGTCCCGGCACCGAATCGCCCGTCGAGAAGATGACGCTTCTCGTCTCCCCTTCTGATTTATCGATCTGTTCGCTTTGTCGCGCTGCTTTCCTTCCTTTTCGTTTTTCTCCTCTACTTCTTCTACTTTTTCTTTTTCTTTTTTCTTTTTTTCTGGCGCGCGGGACAACGGTAATTAGCAAAAAGAATTGATTCAAGAGTTGAAGTGACTTCTTTTTGTCTCTTTTTCTCTCTGCACTCTGAAGCGCTCGATGAGAGAGAGCCCATAATGGTTTGTTATTGATTTATCTCGAAGACTTACGATTTTCCTTCTTCCTTTGGCTGTTCGTTTTCCAGCGTTTCACGATTGCATGATAGGGGAGCAAGAGAAAGAAAATTCTCGATAGAGGGGGAGAGAAAAGTATACCTAAAGAGAAGCCGCGTAGGAAATTTCTCCGTTCATTTAATTGTGCGTCTTGAGAGGGGGCGAAACGAAAAACATAATTTCTCCCCTTGCTTCTGTTGCTGCTGTTTTTCTTCTTTTTTTTTTCTTTCACTCAGAGTCTTAAAACGAGCGAACGAGAGAAAGAGAGGTAGAAAATGGTGAAGCCGCTGTGAAATCTTTCGTGGTCACAAGGCTCGATGATGGAGAAAACTTATCTGGCCAAGAAACGAAATGTCGAAGCTAATTTTGTTTAAATTCACAGCCGAATTGAAGTCCTTGTCCTTTCCTTTTTTCTCAGCTTGTTTGTTTCCCGTTCTTTTTCTTTGCCCCGCTCTCTTTTTTTCCTTCTTTTTTTTTTTTTTTTTTTTTTGTTGGTTTCTTCTTCGTTCTGTTTCTTTTTACGGAATTGTTGGTTAAATCGATTAACATCATTGGAACCGTTTGTCGGTTTAATTAACACCGAGGAACACGGTGACGCACATGGGTATCGTGCTCAATTAATAGATTCAATTGCTCTCGTTAGGAGATATAAAAATACGCAATTAATTGAACAGGATAGAGGCAACGGGTTGCTCACTCCCGTCGCGTTACTACTTCTGAAAACGAGCATTTCCCCTTTTGTTCGTGCGCTGTTAATTTCGAAAATAGACCTCAAAGAGACAGGAATCAAGTTCTGCAAGAAGATGACAAAAACACGCAGCGCGATAGAAATTTACCCAAGATACTGTTATATATATATACATGATATTTTCTCTTCAAAAATGCGTGCAGGGTGTCTTGTTTTAACATATAAACGCAATTATCTTCGAAACTGAAAATTTTTTAAAATGTCTCAAATGCATTTTCTTTTCTGTTTTGAGAGAGCAGTAATTTACACCTACAATTAGACTCATCTAGGGGATACAAAAGTCGCTACTCTTTCTTTCAAGTATAATTTTTTTTTTTTTATGTCATTCGATGCAGAAGGTCTTTCTCTGTAAAAAAAAAAGTATTAACCTGTGTATAGTAAAAAGCCATTAGTTAGGGAGATACTTTAACTTTAACTTTACAAAATTTATCGTACGAAAGATGAGAAAGGATAAGAGCAATATTCCTGCATTCATACTGTTCTCGTCTTTTATGCACAGATTTTACAAAGGATAAGAGCAATATTCTTATATTCATACTGTTCTTGTCTCTTATGCACAGATTTTACAAAAAATATCTCCTAAACTAATTTAACAACGTTTCACACGTAGATAGGTTAATACTTCTCTGTAGAGAACGACCTGTAAATGAAAACAAAAAAAAAAAAATTGCACAATTATAAAATAATAATGACCTTCGTATCTTCTACATACGTCTATTTGGAATGACAAACGTTTCACACGTAGATAGGTTAATACTTTTCTGTAAATGAAAACAAAAAAAAAAAAGAAAATTACATAATTATAAAATAGCAGTGACCTTCGTATCTCCTACATGCGTCTATTTAGAATGACAAACAAAAATGTACCAAATTACTGCTCTCTCAAAAGCGGAAGCGATGTGATAAAAATGTATTTGAGAGGTTCTTTTCAAGTCAGAGGCGGCTAACTGGCGGCCCTTGACCCCCACTTTCCAAGTATGCGTGGTGGGGAGATGGGCGCAGTGGAGGGGGTAGCGTCAGGCGACTTGGCCGGTTCTGTTCCAAACGACGAGCAGTTTCGGTGACAGTTGCATTTGTAGATTAAAACGTGATAACCCGGTACGCTGCTACATTTCACAGATGAGATCCCTTCACTATTGAAAGCCACTCGAGGAGTTTGCCGCTTGGAGAAAACTCGCTGAAGCGCAGGCTCTTTCTGTGTGTTCGCAGGTACGTCATCACGACACTGTGCGGAAAATCCTGCCCATGTCCGGACATCGTGATCGCGTTACTCTTCTGGATCGGGTACACAAACTCGGCGCTGAACCCGCTGATCTATGCGTACTTCAACCGCGACTTTCGAGAAGCCTTCAAGAATACGCTGCAGTGCGCGTTCTGCTCGCTTTGCAGACGAGAGCCGTCCGACCTCGAGGCGCTCGATTTCCGTCGGCCGTCCCTAAGGTACGATCTGGTCTGACACGTTGAGGTACGCACTACATTCTATCGCTTTTTCTTCTCCCATCCTCTTCCCCACCCCCCCTCTATCTCTCTGTTATTCGTTTCTCCACCATGCTCACCGAGTCGAATCTTTATTCTTTTGGGCACGAATGGACGATCGATTCGATTGGGAAAATTACCTGGATGATTGCGAGAATGTACATTACCGGAAGATGTAATAAATATGAAATGTTGCCCGTATAATAAATTTTATGTTAGAGTATGCGTGTATGTGTGTGTGTGTGTAGTCTGTACGGAGTTTTGCGTTCCAAATTAACCAAACTTTTGCAGATCATGGTCATCTTTTGGCAAATTAAATTCACCTCGTTGCAAAACGAATTCATCATTTCGCAGATTAAATTCACTCTTTTTCAGATCGAATTTACCTCGTGGGCGATTGAAAAGTGCGGTAATACGCTTTATTACTTCTGCCAGCGTACTCTTCAATGACGCACCCACGTCGAAGACGTTTTTTTCTTTTTTTTTTTTTTTTTTCAGAAATTAAACTCTTTGCGAGATATATTTCAGCTGATCCTTCGAACTGTGTAATCATTTTGTTTAACTGTGTGATGAACATGTAAATCTAGATGTATATAAATTTAGTATTTGACAACTGAGTGTTTTTCAGTTTAATTTAATTCAGTATTCAAACGAGTATTTTATGTTAATTTTCGTTCAGTGTTATTACATATATTACGTTATTTTTTCATTCAGCATTATACAAGTATTGTACGCGTGCGATAAAATTTTAATTTCGGATTACGACGGCTTGAGGAAACAAATTTCTAGAAAAACTCGATCTGCGAGAGACTGAGTTTCATCAGGGAAAGGGCGAATTTGATCCGCAAGAAGCAAAAATACTCGATCTGCAGATAGAGCAAAGAGATGAATACCTACACTGAAATCTCTTCGCGATATGCTTAAACGCATATGTCCGTACTTTGAGTGACGAATCTCTACAATAAACTAACAATAAACGTGTCACATGAATGTACATTTTGTGTACCATAGTTATCGATTGAAGAAAATGTCCAATGTGTATCTTGTGCCATATCTTATCTAATGCTTTCAAAATTCAATCCATTAACACTAGAAAACCAGCAAAGTAGATAAAACGACCAATTTATAATTTTCTACAGAAATTTTATAACAGCGTGTTTTTCTGGAGACTTGAAATGATTTTTAGTAAGATATACATGTAACAGAAGCTCGTGTCATTTCACGTTTCATTGTAAATTGTTTCCTGTTCGTTGCACTTTGACTTCATGGCTATTAATTTTACACGTTAGTCGTCGATAATTTTACTGTTAAACTTTTACTTTTCCACTTATTGTCATTTCAAGGCGAGGCGAATAACGAGGTGCACAAGATCTGCAGGAAGGGATTCAGAATGGATTCTTGGTTCGAGAGATACCTTTATTATTATTATTTTCAAGGGAGCACGGAATTCGATGGCAAGGTATGCAGTGGCAGTCTGCACAAAGCGGACACAGTTGAATATTTTCTGCAATTTTGAAAATCTGCGAGGTCCGGGCATGTAGAACGTGTAAGTTTCGCCGTTTAAAACACAGACACGTATTTAAAAGTCGTTCGATATATTTTCGTGAACTCTGACGGAGCAACCACGGAGTCTACAGGGTTAACTACGTAATCGTTGGGCAACTAGATCGAGAAACCTGTAATTAAAACGTTTAAACGGGATTTAGGGCAGGATGAATCGCGTGTTCGACGAGCGATTGCGGAAAATTGTGTGACATTTTAATTACAGTGACAGCATCGCGGATATATAGGGTGTTTCGTAACAACTTGTGGGACCCACTTCGGGAGCTGATTGTACGCCTAAAAATAATGAAAAAAAAGTCGTATAAATATATGTCCTATCTGTCTTCGTTTATGAGATACGATGAATTTTCTGTTTTAATAACTTTTACAAAAGATGCTCGAAATGACCACTTTGCATTTGAAGACAAGCCTGCACGCGTCTTGTCATTCATCTGGTTACTCTCTCTNTCTTTTTTTTTTTTTTTTTTAAGCGAATAGACATACACACATCCCTCTGATCTTTTCGCTGTTTATCCTGTTTTTCCTGTTGTACCGACCAGTAATTAAACCGCGACATAAAACGGGCATTATTCCCAAGGCGGCGTATATATTATCGTTAGATGATTCAAATATACGTCAGACGCTCATTCTTGATCGCTTTCTTCCGCTTTCGCGGTGAATGTCGTTTGTTAACGTTAATTGAGATATTTCGTTGAGCTGTCTATGCGAGGAGGCGCAACACCACGATTCCACGTTTAATAATTACGACTTTGTACGTACGTACGCACTTTCGTTTCATTAAATCTTTTCGCCGTTCGAGGACGTCGTGGCGAGCATTTTGCCGCATACCACGTGACCGATAATGGTCACGTTATTTTAACGAACGTTATACCGTGTCGGAAAATGAGTCGTTATATAATTACACGTATCGATAGAAGAGGGCTGTCTTGCGTATGCAATGTCGCGTGCACTGTGACTGACTTATTTTAAATCCATCTATCCAGTCGGTCCATCGTCGAAAGGTGCGAGCCTCACGGAATAGATGTAACACTCTCTCCCTCTCTCTCTCCCTCCCTCCCTCCCTCCCTTCCCGCTCCTCTCTCTTTCTCTTTCTTTCCCGATGCGTAGACGTCACACAGAGAAATTCGATTATCCGATCGGGAACATCCACCGGGAATTGTGGGGAACTGACGCGCGCTTTTGACGTCATTTCAGCTGCCTATATCGCGCGCAGACTTACTCAGATATCAGCCGTGAGCAAGAACGAATCGATTTATCTTAATTAATCGCGAAACTCAACGAGATTCACTCTTTCTCTCTCTCTCTCTCTCTCTTCCTCTTACTTGCTTTTCAACCGGAGTCAACCGGTAATATCTCTCAGTTCCTCTTTTTTTTTTGTTGGTTTTATAATTTTGCGAAATTGGAATAAACAATTTCAATTTTCCCTCTCATCGATTCGATTTTGTTCTTCTGTTCAAGAGGCATCTTGAATCGGGACGAGTATCGATGACCGTTCCTATATCGATCGCCTACTTAAAAAATTCCCCCGCCGTGAACAACAGTCTCGCACACTTCTCGTTAGTGTCTTCAACTTTGTCTCTAACCTCCTTCTCAACCGCCTTTAATCGTTGAATATCGCGTCAAAACTCAGCCCACGCGTATGGGCGTATGAATAATAAATCAACAAATGGCAGAAGTTGGCCGTTACTTGGCTTAATACGCTCGCCTGCGCGCCATCCGGAGTCGTTACTCTAGATTTACGTTTCCTATACGGTGATCGATCTGCTAATAAACGGTTATAATCTACATTTCCCTGTTTCGCTTTCCCTCCTTTCTGTCACGCGCGCTCTGTCACCACTCGTCAGCGATACGTAAAAGTTAGACATTCCGACGTACGTGCACACGCCGTGTGTAAATATATATCGTGGAAAGGAAAAAAAAAAGAGGTTTGAAGAGGGAGCACTCGCTCTCTGATCGATGGAGGAGAGCTCTAAGTCGTTAAACCTATCATTAGGTGAGTTGTTGTGCCACCTGTTATTACGATATATCGCGGAGGCTCTCCCATCGTGCGTTTCATGCGCTGCTTATAAGCGGAAGGTAGAACAGAGCACAGACCGGCGCTGGCTTGTTGCTGATTACACGGCTTCCTCGAGGCGTTGCGCACAGAAATTGCCGCTAATTACGTAAAATGTTGTTCGCCGGTTCTCGGAGCAAGGTGGAGAATGGTCGGCGGGCTCCTTCGCCTATTCGCGTACGCGTTGCGTGCGTTAATTCCCGATGCTCGGCGATTAATGCGGCGCTCGTTCGCGGAAGACCGATCTAAATGTTACCCGAATGAAAAAAAACAAAACCGGGGAAAAGAAAACCACCGCGGCTCGGTTTTCTTTCCCAGCGAGCGAGGGGCGATCGCGACGCGTAATTAGAAGTTCCGTACAAAGTATTACAAAGTCTCGGTAACGACCGTGAAAAGAACGTTTTTAATCCTCTCGCGGAACTTGCACGGGAGGAGAAAGAAAGAGAGAGAGAGAGAGAGAGGAGCGTGCTTTAGTCGACCGGCGTGCAGAATGTTATTTCAGACGGCCGGTCCCCGTCATATTAAGCTCGCGGAACAAGAGAGCCGGTAATTACTTTTCGTGCGACTGTCACGTCCGTCGAGGCTCGCATCCACTCGTGCTCGTGCCTCGGTTATTAATACCGAGTCGGACGCTCCGCGGTGCTACTCCGATTAATCGACCGCGAGAGCAAGACGATTCCGCGATCCTCGCGGTATTTTCAGTTCCCAAGCGGACGAATCGGATCCGCCGCCGAGACCGGACGACAACGTAGCGAACGATCGTGGCCCTGAACCGAGTGAATTAACCTTCGATTCGAAATGTTGGGCTCGTTTCAGTTCCACGTGTGAGATTGTAGGAAGGATTAATCAATAACGCGGTCTACGAAAAGTAACTGCGATTTACACGATATTCTTCTATTCAGTGAAGAATTAAAATTTTAACGAGCACGTGTCAGTCTTTGCTACATATTTTTATGTGTAGCAACGGCTCTGCTAATATGTTTCATGCATGATCGTTGTAAAGTTAAGTCCAATCTTATTTCTGTGATTAACTTCGCGGAACAAGTGATCAATCTCGTTCGATGACTGAAACTTTCACCGTCGAGCGAGTATGTATTTAATGTATGAAAGTGATAGATCGAAGATTCGAAGGATCGGATATTCGTCCTGTCTCGTGTCGAATGTTGCCGCCACTCGTCGTCGATTCAGACTCGGGTTGCAAGGGTGAAATTAACGCAACAAGCGCGGCGTAACGAACGCACGGTATCGCACACTTATGGAACACGTTCGGAAGGTTAGCGTGTTTCCTCGCCGCGATCCAACGTTTTCTCAGGGAGTCGCGCGTAATTTTCTGCAAATACCAGATTAGCAGCAACGGTGGTAACGAGGCGCGCTCGGTTTCCCAGGCCTTGGCGCGATAAACGATACAGGTTTCACAGCCGTGTGGCCCCGAGAAAACGCGGAACGTGATTTCGAACGTACTCTGCCCGTGTACTCGGCTGCGATTGTATCGAGATCATTTCCCACATCGAGCGTGCGCATTGCCGTTGTTGTCGTTGCGTCTCCTTCGTCGGGGAGGAGGGTGGCGAGTGATCGCAAGGAGAAGAGATGGTTCGTTATACCGACGTCCGAAAGATCAGGATTTATCCTTTCTGGCAACGCGACACGCACACTAAGGGCGGGAGGAGAGGTAAAATGTCGTTGATCTCCTGTCACATTGTGCGGTGAGGAAGAAGAACTGGTCATCGTTTGCCTTGTATCGATATGATGTTGCGAGCGAAAGAGACAGAGAGAGGGTTCTTCGATTTTGGTCCGGGCGGGAGAGCAGCAGGTTTCCTCTCCCTTTTGGAAAAAGGAAGGAAGGAAGGAAGGAACCCGACACACAGGAGGCGAAAGGGGTGCACGCATGACCCTGAACCTAACCGGCGCGTCACCCGGTACAGGGGTGCGAAACTCCGACAAAGAGAGAGAGAGAGAAAGAGAGAAAGCGAGAAGGAACACGGTGGAGAAGAGAAACGAGAAAGGGGAGGAGGACGCGCGTATATATGCTGAAGAGAGAGAGAGAGAGAGAGAGAGAGAGAGAGAGAGAAGGGAGGGATGTGGAGAGAAAGAGAGAAACAGTCAGAGTACAGTCCCCGGGATCAATACTCCCGCGTCTTGCGATCATTCATCTTGCCACGCCCCTCTGCTCTCTCCACTCTCTCCACTCTCACTCTCTCTGTCTTTCTGTCTCTCTGGCCTGTCTGTCCGTTTCTCTCTTCTGCTATGCTCTGTCTCTCCTTCTCTCCTTCTATTCCTCTCGTCCTTATTCTCTCCCTCTGTCTTCCTTCCGTTTCTTACCCCCCGTCTCCTTCTCTCGTTCTTCGTTCCACCATCTTCTTCATCCCCGGTGATGGAACCGGCGCCCCTCGTGATCGCGCTCGTCGCCGTTTGGCCACCCAATCCTGGTGTCCATTACCGAGCCAGAGAGGAATTTCGGCGGTTTCGAACCAGAAACGACGTGTACGAGAGAACGAAGCAACACGCGAGGAACGATGTCGAACAGAAAGGGGGGAGAAACCTGAGAGGAGCAGGCGGTTGTGAACAACGATAGGTTTTCGGGATGAGAGAGAGAGAGAGAGAGAGAGAGAGAGAGAATTCATCTGAAAAGCGAGGGAAACCGAGGGAAAAATAAGGGAAGGCTGAGACGAACGTACGGCGACACGTTTACGGATGTCGAAATCAATAAATAGCCGGAATTGCGAGCGCTAGGGACGGACGGAGCGAATGCGAGGCCCGGGGTGGAAGAGAGAGAGAGAGAGAAAGAGACAGAGAGCGAGGAAGGGAGAAAAAGGAGATCGTTAGTAACTACGTAGTAGCGCGCGTATATACGTCGGCGTAAACGCGTAGTACGACTGCACTTGACTCGTCGTTGCACGTGATTCAAATGAGTTTCTGGAGTCCAGCCCCTATCTCCCACAACGGGTGATGCCAGAAGGCCCGATAGAGGGGATTGTACCTACTAGGCCGGACGACGAGAAAGGGTAGTCTCCAGATGAGAGAGAGTGAAAGAGAGAACGAGAGGAGAGGGTGGACGCTTGTTTCAGATATAGAGAGAAGGGTCGATTCGATCGAGCGTTACGATAAAAGAGAGCCTAGAATCGGACAGATGGAAGTCTCGCGTGATCGAT